TAATTCTACAAAGAACGAGGGAGAAAAATAGAGGGACGTTGAGGCCCAGGAAGAAAGCAACACTCGTGGCATACATATACAGGGTGATTCAAAATTGGCGTCATTCATCTGGAGGTGTTGTCTGGAGGTGTCTTAGGAGTAAGTACAGAAAAAATAGTAAAAAAATAAATTGTTATTAAAACTGAAAAATTTGCAAAAACCTATATCAAAAAGACGACAACAATGGTTTTCAAGGTAACCTGCCTAATAAGCATTACGTAAATACCTATTGCTTCGTAATTATTAAATACTTACTCCGGTAACCATGGAAAAATGCAGAAAGTGACAATAAAATAGATTACAGGATAAACGGTAAAGTCACAGGATTCGTTAAATGCAAGGATCTCCTTTATCGAAATGTCAATATTGTCAACGCGAAATTGTTCTTTATTGTCAGCATAACCTCGAATTGATGTGTTCGTGTGGAAAAAAAATTCAATATTTTTCTCGTACTCTCCAAGTGAGTACTCCACTCCTATTTAGAGGGTACTTAAAAGGAATTATGCCAATTTTAAATCATCCTGTATTATTATATTTTCTGCTCTGTAAGCAGGTGTATTTTTTAGTTAATTAAGTCTGAGTTTGTGTTATTATTTTTCACTTTTAGGCATAAGAATGCAGTTGGTCAGGCTAGTCGAGTCAGTCAGCTGGTAACCACCAAAGAGAAATCATAAGTTTTAAGAGTTAAGTTAGTTAAGAAAATACACCACGTGTTTTTGTATTATTATTCGCTTATAGCGAACTCCGGATATAACAAACCAGTTTTAGTTCATTTCTTAAGTTTGTTATATCCAGACACAACTGTATATCAGTTTTAAATTTATATGTGTAATGTGTTTCATATGTGCTAGAGCCGAAAAGCGCTCTACGATCCATCCAAAATAATGAGGCCTATTTTGAATCGCCTTGTATCACTTTTCATAACACTAATGTAAATAAAACAATGTGACAGCGGATTATTTCTGTACTGTAAAAACTATCATAGCGGAAGCGTCAAAAACCAGGCATAAAACGTAAAATCAAGTTATAATCAGTCATAATTAAATAGCAAGAGAAGTACCTCTATAAATATAAAGAGTAGTGAAAAATAACTTACGGATAGTAAAAGAACAGAGTTGTGGCTACGATGAGCAGAGTCCACGCAAATGTGGCCGGGATATATCTGGTTTTTGCATCACACTTTGGCATAATGTCCCACTTGTTTGCACAGCCTCAAAATTTTATTAAAACATAACAAATGGGCCTCACACAGGTCAACATGGCTTGGAAAAGAGTTTTACACCAAAGACAACAGTTGAAGGAAGATGAGCTGTCAAAACTGAACTGCCAGCACGCTTGCGCTCTCGAATCAACAAAAGAGCATCTCGTCTTAAATGCAACGTTGCCATTTACATTGTATTCTCGCGTCTGCAGTAAATGGGATCTGTTTTGCAATCGTTTTCGGAATCATTCATAACGTAACTGTTTTGCATTTAATATTTCTCAACCAAATTATTCATTTTGATAACATTAGTGTACTGTATAGGCTGAATTTTAAAACAGAATGGATCAGCTAATCTCAAACGCCTGCACCTATACACGTTATTGTATAACTGATTGTATAACACATGGATAACTTGTGTTAAGGTGCGTCCACATAAGTAAACTGGAATGTGGAATTTTGAATTCGGTTAAATTATTTACGGCGCAAATTTACGTTCTTTACTTTTGTTTTGACAGAAATATGTGATAAATACAGAACAGAATAAAAACTCACCTATTTATAATGCAATTGGGATCTTCTACCATTTTTCGTAAAATTGTCTATATATAATGTCGTTATAGAAACGGGGATACTGCGAGATTTTCCCAACAAGATTGTTTTCAATTGCTCAAAAGGAAACATTAGAGAGGCGATCTTATCCTGTCGAGTTTTGCAAATAAGTCACACTAACTCACATAATTTCACTACCTCTGGATATGCGTTGTCCAATTCGTTTTTTTTTAATGTTAATAACACCGGCATTATTTTTCTCAATGTATTGAGTGTTATACAAAGCAGTAAGTGCGGAGCGGAAAATAATTTCAAACTATTGTTCGGAATTACCAATATAACATATTTTAATTGCTTTTCGTTTGAACTTATGTTCTCCATTTTTTTATACATTAGGTCCAAAATTAAAAAAAAAACAATAGGCTGTAACAAGTTTCAATATCTCAAACATTATCAGTGCCTATGCGTTGTCTGTTTGGTCTTTCATATTATTTCAGTATTTATCAAAGCCATTTCTTTTCTTATAAGGAAATTTTACATCATGGATAGCGTGTGTTGTATCCGCAGATTAAACAGATACATTTGTTTATGTTTTTCGATGGGAGGAACATTAGTTCACAGTCTATATAAAAGTAGTTATTTACGAGAGCTGCTTTGCCGGCTCGGTATTCAATTTGATATATGAGTAGCATCAACAAGAAAATATTAAGAAAAGGGAAGCCATCACTTGTTTAGTGTGTAATAAGCGACAAGAAAATGTCATTAAAATGCTCAACAGCGTTGAAATTTAAAATTAAAAAATTCATAAGGATTTAAGTTGATAATTACAAGAAAAAAAAACACCGTTAATGAGGGGAATACGGAATAGTAACATTATAGTAAGGGAAAATGTCTACGTCTACGTAACGGCCAGGCGAGCATGTCCTTGGATTAATTCTACTGTTTGTAAAAATATGCATCAGAGCCTAGTTTTGTCCCTACCACCTATTTTTAATTGATGAATCACCGATCGATAGAATTTAATTTTGGTCCCAAACAAATCGGGATTTATGAATGACTACCTTCGTTGCGTTGTGAGCTTCTCTGTGCGGCTATAGTCTACATCAATGCGTCAAACACAACGAACAACAAAATATTTATTGATGTGAACGCACCTTAAGGCCGCTCCGTAAACGCAAGAAGCAGAACATATCAATTGTCTTTATATATGGTTTAATTTAACCAATCACGTTAATGCATTCTGAGGCTGTATAACCTCAAAAGCTAACGTTTTATCGTTTTGTTTATGGTCAGTTTAAAAATGTTACGTCAGTATATGTTGGTTCTTTTAAACCAGTTTTAGGTATTTGTTAGTGCATATTTCGAACAAGTTTATTGATGTGTACGATCAGTTTACCCTAAAGTGCCATTTAGATTAAATGATGAAGGTAAGACTAGATATAAATGTGTTCATAAAAAGTACATTGGATTTCTTTACTATTGGAACTTTCGTATCAATTTTCAAATCACTGGCTCAGTTCAATGTGTCTTTTGGTTTATGTTGAAGTATGTTCATCAGACACCTTGGAAAGCATGAGAGTTCAGTTCAGTTTTAGTTCAGTGGTCTTTTGTTTTGATTGCCAATATTTTTTGATGCTCTCAACCAGATAACTTATAGGATATTAGTTAATATTATGCATGAGCTTAAAATATACTTGGGTACATAATATTTATAACTACTAAGTTTCAGTCATAAATGAATTTAATAAATAAAAACTATGTAGCTTAGATAAATAATTTGTAAGTTCTCTAGCAGCCAAATTTCTCAGTTTTTAATAACAATTAATTGTTTAAACTATGTTTTCTGTACTTCTAAAACACCGCCAGACAACACCTTCAGAGAAATGACGCCAATTCTGAATCACCCTGTATACACAGGGTGTCCAAGATAAGGATTCATTGCATGGAAATCTCCGAAACCGTAAGAGATACGAGGCGGTGAAATTAGGAAAAAGTTGCGCAATCGGGGGGCCCCATATACATTTTGTTTTCAGAAAACAAGAATTTCTTTTCATTTTTGAGATATTTAGAAAAAAAGTATTTTTGTAGTTTTGAAGTTATTTCGAATCATATCATAAAATACCATAAAAATCCTTTCATATGGCACCTTTTCAAGCTCTTCAAGATGGTGTTTATCAAAATGTATTTCAACGTTTCGTTAATTTGAATTGAATTGAATTGTTCACAAAGAATTAAGATCTAGACACTCTATTCGTTCTGGGTAAAACAATAGTTTTCTGTTCCTATTTTCATTTTTTCCAGAATGTTTTTAGAACTTTTACAGTAGATGGGTTTACAAAATGTGTAGCCAGTTGCTAGTTGCAGCGGCTGTTATTTTTTAGTGTCCTTAAAATCATTTGTACTTTAAGTATAAAATATTGTTTGTTGTATACCTAAGCAAGGTTATTTATTTTAAAAATATGAATTACAAATGTGCTAAGATTGTTTCTGCAAGTGGCGCACAATTGCTCATCATCTTATGACGATGCTATATCACGAAAACGACAACCACAAGTGAAATCACATTCACAGTTAAAAAAATCACGTTCACAGTTATAACAGTGATTTTAAAATCACGCTTTAGCTCATCTCTAATTGGAACTATTACAAATGTCCAAATATTCCCACCTGAAGTAATTATAATGAAACTGTAAGTTACGACAAACTATATTACGTTTAATCTATATTCAAATGGATTATGTCCAAATGTCTTACGCTTCTATCCTTCTGACGGTTTGGAAGTTTTAGAACAACGTCTTCATAAGACACCATAAGATTATTCAGGGAATCTGAACTTCTGATCTGAGTCTCGACTCCTAAAGATGAATCATTATAAACTAACTTTTTCTTCCTTATTAGACGAATTTAACACTGATCATGTTTTTAAATACAATTTTGTAATAGAAAATTAACAAATAGAATTGAGCAGGTTTCTGTATGGGCTATCTCTTACCAGCCAGTCAAATAAGCCTATTTCCTTTTCATGTCTGATCGATTTGTTCTGTTTATTTCAGTATAGTACCAAGTTCTTATTTATTTCAGAAATATATGAACGAAAATATGCCAGTGGAAATGATTATTGATTTACTAGATGCTGCTCAGAAAACACCAGGCTGCCATCAGAAAAACAGCTTTTTGTTAAAAAAAATATATCAGCAGGTACATTTTGAGTGAATTCTGTTACTAAGAGTTGCGACAAATCAGTATTTGGATGTAAAAGTTAAATGTATTGCTTCTATTATTTGCAGTCAGATTTTGAACCATTTTGGAATGTATTCACTTCGGTTATAAAGGGAATACTGAAAATTGATTATAAACAGAAGGATGTTTATGTTGGGAGGATGTTCGACTTTATTAGCTTATATTGTACTACATTGACAAAGGCAAAAACATCAGACGATGAGAGAGGTATTGATGATCCGTTGATTCATAAATTGCTTCATTATTTGTTAAAGGTAAGTACATCAAACGTTTTAATTAAAATATTAATTATACTTAATACGAGGGTGATTTGAAAAGTCCGTGCAAAGTTAGTGAGCCACTTGGCCTATCGACGTTATTTTCCGTTGTAGTAGCATCTCTTGGAAGAACGCACTCCAAGTTTCAGCCAGATCGGTTTTGTGTTTGGCGATTGTTTGAAACGAAGAAGTCGAGAGATTTTCAAAACATGAACGAGTAAGAATTTCGGGTACTGATTAAACTTACGCGTACTTTATGAAAGGCAAATCGCCTCAAGAGACTAAAGAGAAACTTGATAAACATTACGATGATTCTTCTTCTTCTTCGGTTAGCTCTACAACCCTGGGTGGATCTTGGCTGATTGTACTACCTTCTTTCGAAAGGAATGCTCATTTTCGGCAGGTCGTTTTGGATGTAGGATTACCAAATTGATAAAATCGACCACAATTTTTTTTTCATAATAAGTGAAAAAATAAGTACGGTAATACTGTTCCCTTATGTTTAAAAAGTGAAACATTCCATGCATATACAGGGTGTCCCAAAAGTAATGGCACAAAACAAAACGGCGGATGGCTGGGGTGAAAATATGATGATTTAACACAACTTACCTTAGTCCAAAAGTTGACGGTTGCCGACATACAGGGCGTCAAACTTACATTTTAATTTCAGTTTTTCGTTATTCTACTTTGAACGGAGCTGCATAGTTGTATCGGCCTTTCTTGGAATAATAATTTTTTACAATAAAACTAACTTAAATTTTTATTTACTTAGTTTTTCTTTCAATTTTCTATTTAATGTCTTCCTGTCAGATTAATATTGACGGAACTAAGAATGTTTTAAAAATCTGCCATAAATCAGTTTTTTTTTCACATATCTTCTGATAGCTGTCAAATTTTAGAAAAACAAATTCAATAGACGCATAATCGAATATGGTTTCCATTGAAAAAAACCAAAGTTTGTGTCATACGTCAAAAATGACAGTTAATTTGTAGAAATGTCTTATGCCATTTGCTTTGGAATCCAATTTTCTACAACTTTTCTATTAAATGTTTTCCTGCCAGATTAATATTGACGGAACTGGAAGTGATTTAAAAATCTGCCATAAATCAGTTTTTTTTTCACATATCTCCTGACATCTGTCAAATTTTAGTAAAATAAAGTTGGTTTTAAGTAGAGCCAGGGGCGGATCCAGCTTTAAATTCAGGGGGGGGGTTATGTAGAAAAAATACAGTCTTCTGTTGTCTATGAAATTAGAAAAATGATCGTCGTTTTGTGCAAG